AAGGGCTGCCTCTGCTGAAAACCACCTGCTGGTGCTGGGAAACCAGGTGGTTTAGTGGTGTTGCTGCTCCAGGCGAAGTTGGGATGCTGGCGCCACCCCTCATTATATGTGTTGTTGTACGGGTCGAGGCGCCGAGCATTGGCGATGAAGTCCGACTGCTCTTGGGGAGTGGTAGACTCTCTCATAGCCTGGCAGTCCTCCACTAGGTGATTGGAGCTCTCGCACCACTGACATTGAGCAACTGGAGGTGTAGCCAAACCTCTGCCCGGAATAAGACTGTTGGGCTGCTTCAATGTCTGCACTAGCTCAGCCACCTGCTGCTCGAGCCCGGATCTGGTCTCCATGGCGTGCACACCACGGTCACGGGAATGTCTGCCTCTGCTGCTCTGTCCCCAAGAATGATCTCTGGAAGCCAAGGTATTGATCATCTGGTTCAGCTCGGGTGGAGTCTTAGTGAGAACATCCCCTCCTGGGCATAGAGACTCAATCACCCTCTGGCTATCTGGAGAGAGAGCACTGTAGAAGTTCCCCACTATGAATGCATCACTAAAGCCATGATGGGGACACTGCCAGAAATATCCCATGTACCGCTCCCAAGCATCACGAAGTGACTCATCTGGCTCTTGGCGGAAGTGAGTGATCTCCCGCTGAATCTCTGTAGTCTTCGATGCCGGATAGTACCTGTGCACGAATTTGTCAGCCAGATCGTCCCAAGAGGTGATGGACAATGGGGGCTGGGTCTCCAACCACCTCTTAGCATTCCCCGCCAGAGAATGGGGGAAGAGATGAAGGCGGATCGCATCATCAGGAACACCGTTCAGATTGAACCCGTTTGTCAGCTGCAGAAAACGGGACAGATGTACCCTGGCCTCCTCATCCTTCAAGCCATGAAACTGGATAGAGGATGTGATGAGCTGAATCCAGCATGGCTTGATCTCGAAGTTGTTTGCTGGAATAGGCGGGTAGAGGATGATCGGGCGGATGTCAGCAATCCGAGGAGTGTAGTTGTACTCCAAGGTGGGACCCGGCGGCGGTGGATGATGAACCCCATGATCCTGGGGTATGGGATTGTTCCCCAGGACCTGATTCACTGGGGGAACTTGCTGCGGATTCCCCTGGTGTTGATTGTAGTCTCCGTCCATCCCGCACTCTTCTTCAGAATCGCTACTCAAGTGGTCGTCTAGGCGCTCTTCCGTAGCCAGTCTAGCTCGTTGTTGTCTCCTGAGTTGGCGACAGGTGCGGTCAATCTCTGGATTCAACGTCAGTAAACCTCCCGACTCGCTACGGGTCATGCACTACCTGCACACACTCAAGCAAGCAAACCCATGAAGGCACAAGTGGGACAAAGCAAACACAGCAAAAAGAAAAGCTAAATTAACATAAATCACTTTTCTTCAACAACCTAGCCGTCCCCGGCAACTGCGCCAAAAACTTGACTCACTTCTACTGTCACTCCAGGAATTGGCCAAGTGAAACCACTTCCTAAAGCGTAGTATAGCGGGTTTGGGTTTAATTATCAACTCGGGTCCTAGATTTGATGACTACTCAGTGAATTCTTGTTATCTAGCAATGAAACTTTAATGCAAGTCTAAACTAACAAACTAACAAAGCAAGTAAACTGTTGTATTCAGGTTAAGAGAGGTCACCCGGATATGGTTCCCCCTAGACTGCAGTTAAGCCGGATTGTAATTACCAAGTTCAGTTTCTATGATAGTTATACTGCGGAAGGTTCTTAAACAGCCTGAAGTCTCGACTAAAGGTCTTCAGACCCTCTCAATCTGAGTCTCTAGCGGGCGACTAACCTCCACCGGAGTAAACAGATTGAGGCCCTAAGAACAAAATCTCCACTACCGAAGTGAATCCGGTACAGAATAGTGAGTTGGCTCCTCGACTAAAGTCACCAACTCCCTACCTTCAATCAAGGATGCTCTATCAACCTAGGCAGATATTCTCATTCTAGGTCAAAGCAGAAACAACAGGAATTTGATCAGGATTCAAGTCATTCAATCATTCAAACCTCAATCGAATATAATCAAATCATAGAATCAGTACTTGGGTTCATACAATCAAAGCCTAACATACAAATCTAGGGTTCTCCATACCCAGATGAATGGGAGAACTACTCCATAGAGAAAGAAGCAAAAGCAGAATCAGACGCGGAATTCATACTGTGAAGGATGGATTCCTGCTCCTGGACGTTGATCGGCACTTCTCCAAGCTCAAGCCAAGCTCCAATGGTGATGAAGATCAAGCTAGGGCACTTGGAGACTCTTGTTCGTCGCTTTCTCTCTCTAGGAATCTCTATGTCTCTCTAAAACTCGAATCCCCCTGACTTGTGGCTGCAAATCTGCTTAAAAGCAAAAAATCCTGACTCACACGGCCAGGGTGGCACGGCCGTGTGGCTTACCCAGTTGCCCGTGTGAGTCAAAACGATGCGTTCCAATTAGTTCGATCTTCAGGCCAGGGTCGCACGGCCGTGTGAGATTTCCATCAGCCCGTGTTTGCTCTCGGCGAAACTCGCACGGCCAAACCACTCCTTCACACGGCCGTGTGAGTTGTGGGTGTGCCCGTGTTTGCTCTCACACAATCTCACACGGCCAAAGTGGTCACTTGCACGGCCGTGTGAGTTGTGGGTGTGCCCGTGTGACCTCCTTTGTGACTTGTCTCGCGCCCGATCTTCGCCCAATCGACCCCGAACTCGCTCCTAAACCTTCATTCACTTGCCAGGACCTGAAATATCACAAACAAGCACAACCTAGCGTGAAATCGGTCTAAAACACGAGAAACCACATCTCAAACTGTGTAAGAACAGGGGTGAAAACATGTGTAATTAACGGTCTATCAACAATCCTTTGTTTGGATTGAGATAAAATGGATGAATATGGTATATTCATCTAAGTGAATATCTGCTAAAGGGAGTGGTCAAATAAGCCTTACGTGATTAAATTTGAATAAAGTGCATTAGAGCATTTGCATTTGGTATGTGTGATTGTGTAATGACATATAGGCTTATGTGCATGATATTGTGGTTTTAGTTATAAGTTTGATTTATGAATGTGGTTTGGTTAAGTGATGTTGTGTGTATGACGTGCCTTTTTTCTTGTGACCTTGTAGTATGAAGTAATTGTTTGCATACAATTGTGTTAGCTATGTTTTATAGTTATTTGGAAGAAAAGAGTCGAGAAATCATTTTATAATGATGTCATATGTTTTAGTTGATATGAACTCCAGAAGAGCTTCATAAAGCATGGTTTGCTTAAAGAAAGAAAATTGAACTCTAGAAGAGTTTCATATAGCAGGGATTGCTTAAAGAAAGAAAATTGAACATGGAGAATTTAAGAAGATCCTTTTTGAATCAGGAAGACAATGTCGGAAAAGTGAAAAAACAATTTTGTATGAAAAAATTTCCATATGTTCAACAGCCTAATGATCATAAGGTCACTAGAAGTGAACAAACTACAAAGATCAATTTAGGCATTGAGATAAAAGTGAATTATTCGGTCCTGTAGTACCGTATGTTAATGTCGTTAGAGAGAAAATGTATCTCGCTATACTTCATTGAGTTATACTTTGTTACTATAGGTAACGATGATGATCATAGATGAGTAATTTGTTTACATATGGTCATTCAAGTGTCTCATGGAGATTCCAAAGAAAGCACAATAGCAACATCATCTAATCATGCACAATGGTCAACAATTCATGAGACTTGTTATGAATTGTTTGGTTAAGATTTGTGATCCAACACGTCTAAATGACTTGTGGTTGTGGATTATATTCATAGAAAATGATCCTGAAGATCATGTATGAAGAAAATGGTCCTAATGGATCATGCATAAAGTGACAATCTAGAAGATTTGTTCACTAAGAAACTTACCATGACGATATTTGAAAGTTATGTTCACAAAACTACACTTTGATGTTGTCATGAGGGGGAGCATATACGCACTGTACTCTTTTTCCCTTAACCATGGTTTTTCCCACTGGGTTTTCCTGGTAAGGTTTTTAACGAGGCAATTTCAGATAGCGTATTATGATGATTATGTACTCTTTTTCCTTCACTAGGATTTTATCCTATAGGGTTTTTCCTAGTAAGGTTTTAATGAGGTATATTCTCAATAGATGGACATCCAAGAGGGAGTGTTATGAAATAATATAGTATGGTGGATGTCCATTGGATGCTACTTTGAATTCCATATGGGATGTTACATTAGGAGGTAATTACCTCCCTACATTGATCATGGAAATGAATTCTCTTAATGGTTATTATATCACATTTATGTGCATTGATAGAGGAGAATGTGAAGGTTGTGTATATGTGCCTATAAATAGAGCTCCCCATTGTACAAAGGAAGAAGAAGGAATAAGAAGAATTCTTCCCCTCTCTTCTCTAGTGTCTTTCCCTCTCTAATCTTCTCTTGTAGTTTGTATTTTCCATTAGTTTTATAACACACATTCCTTTTTTGGAACTATCATTGTAATAGTGTCTTTCCCTCTCTAATCTTCTCTTGTAGTTGTTTGTATTTTCCATTAGTTTTATAACACACATTCCTTTTTTGGAACTATCATTGCACTATTACAACTATCATTGCATATGTACACTGGTAGAACTACCATTGCACTGAAAAAAGAAAAGTAGTTAATATGAATATTTATTCAGACAGATTATTATGCAACACAAATCAATTACTTTAAAAGCCTATAATTAATAGAGGGTATTATTTTTCCAACACTTTTAGTAGTTTTCATGCTATCTGGATGATGAAATGTGAAGGTAAAGAGATGCATTTGCTTGTGATTTGATTAGGGATATATCATATATCATATATATGTTGTGATTTTTAAAGTAATGATTGGCTTTGTAAAAAGAAAACTAGTTACCCTAATTAAGAGAGGCAAACAAGATGAAGATGTATTAGTGCAACTACCAGCAAATTTCGAATTTGTGAATCAACCAAGTTCAAAGTTTGTAGTCGAGTACCACAGACCGATATTAGGATTACCAATAAGATAGTTAATTACATGTTTCACTGCAGCTAGATGATAAACTTCATTGTTAGCTTGAAAACGTTGCACGGTGAAATACTCTGGAAGCCCTAATTGACAGCCCCCACCCAAGATTAACCCCAGAAAGTACAACGTAAGGCAAGAATCCGAAGCCACAAAATTGAAGAAACTATATATCATCAAAGGTTCAGGTCCAGAATCAGGAACAGAACATCACAAGACTCCACCATTACAACCATATCATATAGCTAGCAATGTTCAATTCAACAAGGCCTAAGATTCCCCAAGACAGAACTATTTTTATCTACCCTTAAACCAGTTCATGGCAGAGAAAACAGCAGTGAATTACTACATCCAAAAACCAACCCCCCAAAATTACACCATTCCATTGACCATCTTCCCATTCCAGAAGATATCAACCACAACACATTCTAATTGGTCCTTAAGCACGCTCACCCCTGATCCTCCTGGCCAACTGGATATCCTTGGGCATAATGGTGACACGCTTGGCATGGATGGCGCACAGATTGGTGTCCTCAAACAGCCCCACAAGGTAAGCCTCAGCTGCCTCCTGCAGAGCAAGCACTGCGTGGCTCTGGAAACGCAGGTCAGTCTGCAATACACAAAAAGAATTCAGTCATACTCAGATTAGAACAGCGGCAGCAGACACCAACGCAACAGGAAGAGCATTGAATTATAAGCATTACTAGATACCTTAAAATCCTGCGCAATTTCACGAACAAGCCTCTGGAATGGCAGCTTCCTGATCAGAAGTTCAGTGCTCTTCTGGTACTTACGGATTTCACTGCAGACGGTTTAACAAATAACGGATCAGAAGCATTACACCAAGCTTGAAATCAGACCAACATAGAATTACAGATTCAAACTCACCGAAGAGCAACAGTTCCGGGTCTGTAACGATGGGGTTTCTTCACACCACCAGTGGTGGGGGCAGACTTACGGGCAGCCTATCAAAGAGCAGAGAAAAACGCTAAGATCCCACATGCACAGAAGAGAAAGGTGAAGAAATTGAACAAACTTAAAAAGATTAAAAACCTTGGTAGCGAGCTGCTTCCTGGGAGCCTTTCCTCCAGTGGACTTACGTGCAGTTTGCTTTGTACGAGCCATCTGCGCTGAAAGAACACAATCTTTACAAACAATCACAAAATCTCTGGCAGGAACCAATATTATACAAGCTCACAGTTACCCAGTTAAAATTATACGCGACCACCCCAGATTTGAAGGAAGAAGAACTTATTCAACTCTGAAAACTAGACTTGAATTCAAACTAAAGAGCGTCCATCAGATTTCCTAAACAGTGTACCCTATTGCATCACAATTTATTCTGGAAGCGAAGAACCCTAGATTTCCAAGGTAACAATTGTACTCTAAACGACATAATCAAGTCTAAACAGCACATAAACACTAAATCGTTAATCTGCAGCCAGCTTAACCCAGGGCTTTTTTCAATAAATCGACGCCGGCCTACGAAGGAAGAGGTTGATTCGAGGAGAAACTATTTGCCAATGCAATGAAACGAAATGTGGAAAATCCATGGGTACTCTATCGCGGGGAAGAAATCAGAAGAAGAAACGAGACGGACGGAATCGGAAACAACGGAGCGAGAATCTCAGGGAAAAAGAACCAGATAGATGAATATTCCTACACCGAGAAACAGAAGAAACAAGGGGGCGGAAAGAAACCATACCTCTTGACCTTTCTTCTTCTTCTTCTCGCTCTTCTTCCTCTTCTCCTTCTTCTCGCTCCTCTTCTGTCTGCTTTATCTCTCTAAAAGCACGGAAAAGTTCCGAGTTGAAGGGCCGCCGAGGACTATTTATAATGAGCGGTGGTGAAGGATCGACGGATGTGATTAACTATCCGTGTGCTTGTTCAGTAAATTATCCAACGGTTTATAAGACACTGACGTGTGTTTTCTTGCGTTTGATGGACGGCTGAGATTTCTTCCTAGGAGGTGTCACGGATCTCTGTTTGTGAATACTGGATTCCTATTGGTTCGTGGTTAGCAGCAAGATTCTGAGCTGGGTGCTATGCTACCTGTTACGTTGCGATCCACGTAGGCAGTTTCACCTTCGTCGTTTGAAAATCACTTGTTTTTTTTTAAAGGTAAATACAATATATTAGTCACAACTATTATAAAGCGGGGAATTATAGCCACAATTATTGAAATTCAAATTATTAGCCAAATGTTAACTATCTGTTAACAATTTCGTTAGTAATACTGACTAAACTTTTATGTTTTGAAGTTATAAACTAAAAGCATTTCTACGTGGCCGATGACGTGACCTTCTCCGTCAAAAATTTAATAACAGTAACAGACAGTTAGCCATATCTTGACCTGCAACAATAGTTATGGCTAATAATTTGAATTTTCATAGTTGTGGCTATAATTCTCCGCTCCATAATAGTTGTGGCTAATATATTGTATTAACCTTTTTTTGCCACATTATGAAAATCACTTGTTTGTTTGTGGATGTGGGGAACGTGTTGCAGACAATTTTCTTTTCCTAAATCGGTTTGACTTGGGAAGCGGAAGTATGCTCAAGGAATAAAAAGGCTTTTTAGGCACAGAAAACTGAAAGGGCCTAATGAGTGGGCTTGACAACCTAGCTGCCTGCAAATCTGGATTGGTTCGACTAGTTATTCACTTGCACTATGTTTGGCAACGAGGGGTGCGAATTGAGGTGCAAATTATAGGAGGAAGCAAATTTATGGGGTATAAATTGAGGGGTAAATTGTTGTTTGAAACAAAAAGTAAGGGGTGCAAAATGGTATGAAATATAGCTTTTAATACAATTATAATTATTTTATTATTATAAAGAAATTAAAAAAACAAACATACCCTACTAATTTCTTCTCTTCTCTCTCCCCGGTCCCACCTTCCCTTCCCATCTCTTCTCACACTCACCCGCCCAAACCTCTTTCCCCTTCCACTTCTGGGCCCACCAACTCCCATTCCATTTCCTCAGCTTCCTTTGCACCCCATATTGGGGGAAGCCAGAACATGAAACTTGCACCCCAATTGTTCCCCCCTTCCCTGTTCCAAAAGATCCAAACGGGGGCAATTATCTTGGAATTGCCACTTACCCCTAAAAAATTGCACCCCCTCCATTTCCCCCTCCTCCCAAACATAGTGTTGGTATTTAGGGGTCGTTTGATTTTGGTGATAGTTTGGTTGGGATAGTTACAATGGAGGCGTGTTATTTGCCGCCCGTGTCATTATTATTTGCCGTCTGTGTATTAAGTTAAAATAAATTTTTTGCCCCTATCAACACTCCTTCCATCACCCTCACACTATCACCATACCACCATCGTCGGCAGACCACCACCACCAGAGCACACCGCCAGCCAATCACCACCGCCGTTAAACCACCATCGCGCGGAGCCATCGAATGAGACCACCTCCGCCGTCGTTTGACCGCCGCGCCGCTGCCAGACCACCACAGCTGCAGCCACCACTTCCATCTGCAGGAGGACATCGTCCGACGCCGGTGGGAGGACCCCGTCCGACTCCGGCGTGAGGACGGGCTGATAAAGAATAAAAAAAATTCCTTAATTAGCATTTTTGTAATTGTCTTTGTTTTATTTAAGGAAGTTATTTTCTGTTGTTAATAATTAATAATTTTAAACATTAATCTCGTCGATTATTAATTAAGGAAATGAATTGAATATAATGACTAATGAGAGTGAGTAGTTGAGAAGGAATTAAATCTCTACACTTACTATAAAAGAGATGAATTGTGTCATTATTTAATAACTAATTGCCAGCAGTTATAAGATCAAAAATTAATATATATAATTAATTTAAATATGTATATTTAAGTATAATTATAAATTATCATAAGTATTCTAAAAATATATATTTTTTTTTGGTATTTTGTAATATACTACTAGAAGTATGTATATAATTATTAATTATCATAAGTATTCTAAAAAATTATGGATAATTAATTTAAATTATGTAGAATGGTTATAAAATACTTATTAAATTTGTTTAAACATTTTTAATTACATTAATTTCATAGTTAATTAGATCATTCCTAGGCTACGTTTTATCAAACATTATCCAAGGAATCGGGGCTAGGAGAGGGCTCTTTGTGGCTTGTTGAAGGTCGAACAAAAATATCTTTTCGCAATTACTAGACATGGACATGACAAATGGTTGTAACCCTCATCGATCCCTTAAATGTGGAGAGGATTGTGGTGGAATCAACTGTTTCTCGATTTAATGTCTCGATAAAAAAAAGATGAATAGTATCGAAATTTCCTTCTTAGTTTTTGGAGGCTCCGTGGGTCGTAACGAAGTGTTTCTTGAGCCTACTATGCGTATTTCGACGATGCGAACAAATGTTGTTAGTGGAGGTAGAGATGATTTAGCTTCTAAAACAATTAGGCTGTCAATTGAACCCAAATTCCGGGTGCCCGACCGAACCCGACCCGATTTGTGGCGGTTAAAACCTGGTCAAACAGATAGTTGACGGTTTGCGGGGAATCCGTTACCCGCTACAGCCGGGTGTCGGGCGGTGGTGGGTTTCTGAATATCCGCCCGAGAGAACCCGAAACCCGCTTCCCCTCAAATCATCCACCCCACCCCAGTCCCCAGCTCATTTCGCGAAAACATCTCATCCCCTTACAAACCCTAGCGCCGCTCTAAAAAATCAAATCCCCAACCCTGTCCCTTCTTCTTCTCCTCAAATCTCGCAATATGCTCTTCGATTGTAGAGAAAAACGGCACAAAATCATTACATTCATTGTTTTTAAGAGCAGGTACCCAAGTAATCAGAGCAAACCCTTCGATTTTTTCGAATCGAGCCATTCCGGATGGCGATTACAGCGCCATTTTCCCTTTCTCGACTCTTCGAGTTCGATACCATCTTCTTTTTCCCCTTCATGCATACGCCTATAAATGCCTTACTTGAGTTTTTTGCTGCAAATTGCCAGATTCTCAGAAAGCAGACCACTCTAGAGAGAAGTAGTAAGCTAGCAGTTGTCTGCAATCGCGATTTCCAGTCACTGGCTCACTGCATCTGCAAGGTGAAGGAGCACAACCGTAAGTGTTCTTCTTAGCCTTTCGTCTGGGATTTGCAAGATTTTTTCAACAACTTGTCTCTTGTGACTTGTCTAATACCTCGGGACTTTGTTGATTGATGTTAGGGTTTCTGGTGGCAGGGTTGTCATTGATCAGTAACGAAGCTTAGAAAGGTAATACTACTTGATTCTCCTAGTTCTTTGAGGTTTCAAGGAATTTAGCAGCGACTGATTGGTTTCATTGGTTTGTTTTCTCGGGTGATTGCAGGTAATTAATGGAAGGAGTTGAATCCTCAGTCCCTGCCTGAACCACAGCAGCATCAACCAGTGATTGCTGTTGATGCACCAGCAACTGTGAATGGCGATGCTGATACTAGTGTCGTTGCTGGTGGTGAGTCAGAGCCCTCTCCCCTGCCTTTTGGGGCCAAACGTCCACTGAAAAGTGATGTTTGGCCTCACTAAACATGGTTTGTGGATAAAGATGGTGTAATGAAAGCACGATGCAAGTATTGTCGAAAGGTTCTTGGTGGTGACACCAGCAATGGTACCTCTCATTTGAGGAACCATAAAAAGGTGTGTGTTCAGAAACAAATTCACGATGGTAATCAGAAAAACATTGCCACTAATTTCCTCCCTAATGGTTTGATTGGAAAGAAAGAACTGTGTACTGGTCAGTTCAATGCAGAGGTTTCAAGGAGGGAACTTGCCACTATGGTTTTGATGCACGAGTATCCACTTGGTATGGTGGATCACTTGTATTTCAAAATTTTTTGCAATTCTCTGCAGCCCTTGTTCAAAGTTCCCTGTAGAAACACTTGCAAGAGTGATATTCTTGCCTTGTATGCGATTGAGAGGAAAAAGATTCAAAAAATGATTGATGGTAACAAAGGTAGAAATGCTGTCACAACTGACATGTGGACAGCAAGTAATCAGAAGAGGGCTTACATGGTTGTAACCTCTCATTATGTTGACAACAATTGGAACCTTAGGAGCCACTTGTTAAGGTAAATTGCTTATTCAATTTGTTCTTTCTTTGATGTTTATTTGTTTAACACTTAACAGAAACTGACTTCGAGCTTCATTTGATGTTTGTGTGAGTGTATGACAGGTTTCTCTATGTTCCTGACTGTAAGTTATCCACTATAACTCTTGACAACTGTTCTACAAATGATGCCATGATTGAAAAGATTAAAAGGAAGATGGTTATGTCTGACTTTCTATTGAATGGTTCCTTCCTGCAAATGAGATGTTCGGCTCATATTCTTAACTTAATTGTTAAAGATGGGCTTGAAATTATAAAAGATGGGATTGAAAAGATAAGAGAAAGTGTGGTGTATTGGACTGCAACTCCTAGGAGACTTGAGTTCTTTGAAGAGACTGCTAGGCAAAAGAATGTTTGTATTGGAAAGAAACTTGCACTTGACTGCCCTACTAGGTGGAATTCCACCTTGCATATGCTTGAATCTGCAATTCCATACAAGGAAGTGTTCACTCGTTTGAATCAGAGAGAACCTAACTATACTTCCTTGCCTAGCAGTGATGATTGGATGTTTGCTACTGTTATTAGCAAAAAGCTTGAGGTTTTCAGAAATATTTTTGAGCTTCTTTCTGGAAGCAGTTATCCTACTGATAATATATTCTTTCGAAGGATCTGTGACTTGAAATTGAATCTGCTTGAGTGGATGACTGATCCTGATAGCATCATTTGTGAAATGGCCGAAAAATGTGGGCCAAGTTTAGCAAATACTGGACTGATATCCATGTATTGCTCACTGTCGCTGTTGTTCTTGATCCTGCATACAAACTTGAGTTGATTCAGTACTATTATGATAAGAGCAA